AATCTGCATGGGGCCCCTGTACCGCTCCCATGCTGCGCCAGGCCCCGTAATCTGTAGGGCCCCCTGTACCGCCCCTCATGCTGTGCCAGGTCCAGAGTGTGTCATGGGCCCCTGTACCCCCTCCCATTGTATCGCCACACTCTGCCTGTGCCACTTTTCAGGTCTCCTCACACTGAGCTGTGTCTTCCATTTTGTCATAGGGTGCTGTATGGCCTCCATTGCTGCAAGCCTCCAACCGCCACCCATCAGTGGCTCCACACTCTGTTTTGCCCCTTGACTGGAGCCAAAATGAGAGAATGTGCGGTGATTCTAAGATCGACGGCACACATCTGCATGTCATAAGCTGACTGACAGTATTATTTCTCCTTCCCCCAGCATACTCCCAAGGGGCATTTAAATTAATGTTACAGTGTTTTCTGCACTAATATTAAGGATCCTCTCTGAAGCCTAGAAACACCCTTTTATTTTAAGTAAATTCCACAGCCGAATTTATTCGACTCCGAATCGATATAGTCCACCGAATTCGCCCGAATCAGTCGAATCGAATTTTTCATTTCTTCGCTTCATCTCTAACCACAATACCTATTAAACTAAACTGTTATCATCATCAATTGATTGCAAGTGCTCCTGCCAACTGCATTCCACCAGGCATAGTCAATGGCAACGGGTTTTTAAAAGCTTTAGCTATATTATGTATATTTAAGGGTTTGTAGCTCTAGTTGGCCTAATAGTGCACATTTAAACAATTCTCATGCACTGACATGTTTCTAAAGAGCTGTAGCCCTCAAAATATCCTAAAGGAATTCTCAGTGTGATCATTGTCCTCGATAATTGGACACTGGTCCTTTCAAACTATTTTTTTAGTTTCATTAGACAACAATTTAGTGAGTTAAGCTGGTAAATTCCCCTAACAGGTTGTAGTATGGATCCCATCCATATCCAAATGTGAATTTACCACATGCAGTGGACACATCACAAACTGGCAGGATAAAATATCCAAATAAACAGAGAGTACCGGTGTGTAAACTGCAACCGGTTTTAAAATGTACCCAACATATTCTCCACTGGAAGCTCAAAGTTAAATTGCTTTCTGTGTTTATTTGATCTTCTCCAGCTCCTATACAGTGTCTGCACCCTGGTTAGCCTCACATTAAGGAAACTAGGCTAAGGTAGATCCACTGTCTAAAGTCTATTCTGAAATGTTGCCCTACAATATAATATTCATCAATCCCCACCCATAGAACAAAAGAGAAATAGGACAGCACCGGAGACAGCTGGAGTTGGGAAATAGGGCAAGTGTCTAGCAGTCTGTGGACAATCCTTCAACATCATCACATACTATGCATGTCATTTAGCCCTGTATTTTACATGGTGGGGGAGGGGTATGAGACCACTGTCAGTAGCACCTTAGAGAGGAGAGACTGGTCACACCACTGAAGGAATTCTGCTTGAGCACAGAATTAAAATTCTCCTTGATCCAGCACCCCTAGACATAATGAGACACTTAACCTTTGCATCGTGGGGCAGCCCAGTGCAAGGGTAAACATTTTCAAATTGGAACACCTGGACTTTAACTTTGCAGGTGCATCATAGCAGGTTTATGTACAGTAATTAGGGTTTTATCTCCTAATACATCCAGAGGGCTGGACAAGATTATGATGTAGATGCATCTGAAAAACAGGAGACTGCTTGGGACCAGGAAGTTTTAGTGAAGCAATAATTTTTATACATTTCTGAATCCAATTTTGGACCCAGTCATTTGCATGTATGCTTTTAATTATTATTAACCTAATAGTAGTTATGGTTACTACACTGTTTTTTTTTTTTTTTTTTTTTTTTTTTTACAAGGGACATAGTGAAGAAAATGTCTTCCATAAAAAATAGTCTACAAGAACATATCTGCAAATACATTAACTGTTGATTTAGATTTTAAAGCATAATAAACATGAATTAAATTGGAGCCTTTATAAATGTATAGGCTAATGTAATATGCAAGTAAATGTAAATTAAATATAGACAAGTGTTCTATTAGTGTTTCCTGCATATATTTTTTTTTAATATTTGATTAAAACCATTTGTAGCATTTGCACAAGGTTATTGTCATTAAAATGGGATTTAGAAGCTTTAGTGCTCTGGCATCAAGGTTGTGTGCAAAATGTTGTTTATGAAAAAATACTTAATCCTGTAATGCGTTTGCAAGTGTCACCTTAGATGTTCTTTCTTATTTAATGGATTGTTCATGCTGTAAAGTGTTTTTTTTGTTTCCAAACAGGTTGGCCATTTGGCAATACGATTTGTAAAATGAGTGGCATGGTTCAAGGAATTTCTGTGTCTGCCTCTGTTTTCACATTGGTAGCAATAGCTGTGGACAGGTAAGTGGAGAATGGATATTTAAAGCTGAACTTCCAGTACATAAAAGGACAACAGTAGATGCAGTGATTTATTTTTGTAATTGTTAATTTTATTTTTAAATGCAACTACCGTAAGCAGCATGATAATATCTGTGTCTTGTAATTCCCAACAGAGCAGCACTTAAACTGGAAAAAAGATGGAATACCAAAAGCCAAAACTGGCTTTCCTTAACCACTTGCCCTCCTGAGGATTTACCCCCCTTAATGACCAGGCCTATTTTTGCTACTCGGCGCTGCACTAATTCAACTGATAATTGCGCGGTCATGCAACGCTTCACCCAAACAAAATTTACGTCCTTTTTTTCACACAAATAGAGCTTTCTTTCGGTGGTATTTGATCACCTGTGCGCTTTTTTATTTTTCAAGCAATAAAAAAAGACCAAAAAATTTGAAGAAAAACAATATTTTTTACTTTCAGCTATAAAAAATATATAGTAAACTCAAAATTAGTTATAAATTTAGGCCAAAATGTATTCTGCTTCATGTTTTTGGTAAAAAAATCCCAATAAGTGTATATTGATTGCTTTTTGTGAACGTTATAGCGTCTACAAACTATGGTATAGATACTGCAATTTACGCCAGTTTTTTGCTGTACAGCACTGCGCTAGTTTAACGGACAATTGCGCGGGTCATGCAATACGGTACATAAATGAAATTTATGTCCTTTTTTTTCACACAAATAGAGATTTGTTTCGGTGGTATTTGATCACATGTGCGTTTTTAATTTTTTGCGCTATAAAAAAAAAAGGCTGACAATTTTGAGAAAAAAAAAAAACAATATTTTGTACTTTTTTGCTATAAAACATGTCCAGTAAAAAAAAATTAAAAAATCAAATTTCCTCATAAATTTCAGCCAAAATGCATTCTGTGACATGTCTTTGCTAAAACAAAACCCAATACATGTAAATTAATTGGTTTACGTGAAAGTTATAGCATTTACAAATGGCAGGAAAGATACTCGGATTTTTAATTTTTTTTATACTAATAATGGTGGAGATCAGCGACTTATGGCGGCGATCAGTGACTTATGGCGGCGATCAGCGACTTATGGCAGGACTGCGGGACTGCGGCTGACATTCTGACACTGGGGGGGAACTGACTTAGGGTCACTGACATCCCCAGTGACCAATACAGTGATCAGTGCAAAAAAAAAAAAACACTGACACTGTACTAATGGCACTGGGGAGGAAGAGATTAACTTTTTTTTTTTGCACTGAAAGGGTTAACTGTGTGAGGGGAGTGTTTTTACTAATGGGCTAAGGGTTTATTTACTAAAGCTGGTTCACTCAGAATCTAGTGCACTTCTGCACAGAAACCAATAAGTTTACAGGTTTTATTGCTAAAGCTTAATTGAACAAGCTGAGTTTAGAAGCTAATTGGCTACCATGCACAGATGCACAAGATTCTGAGTGAACCAGCTTTAGTAAAATAAACCCCTCAGTGCCATTTCTGTCCACTGCTTCGTTCCTCTGCTATTAGCATGAATCACTTCTGACAAGTTTTTCTGTCACTGAGAGAAAAAAGATGACGAGGAAGGGACCTCCAGCAGATTGACAGACTAAGCACTGTTCCTGTTTGCTGTGTGAAGGGAGATGTGTTTCTTCCCTCCAATCATCTCTCAGAGTTCTCCTCAATGAGCTCTGCAGAGTGTAATTTCAGCTCTCCACCCCCTTTTTTCTGAACCCCCCAGACAAGTTTTATAAATTCAGCACTTGGAACAGATGTAGATGTAGCGCTGCTCCCATGTGGGCCACTTGTATTTTTGCCCAGGTTTCCCCTTCTTTGCCCCGCAGCCAGGCACAGTGTATTTCTTCAGAAAAAATACACACACACACAAACATTTCTGCTTGTTGTCTTCAATGACCAGTCTAGGGGATTTGTGTTTTTGGAGTTTTATTGTAGAACTGGGGATAGGGATAGTGAATTTAGTAGGATACTCCATAATTAGAACTATTCACATTGAGGACATCTAGCTGATGTCTTAGTTGAACACTGTTGGAAGTCCTGGCTGAAAGTAGATAGCAGACCTCTCTTTAGTTTGTAGCAACAAGTAGTTTAGGAGTGAGCAAAGTTCCTTTTTCAGTAGTAGTAGTAGTTACAGGATTGAGCTCCTCAAATAAAAGCCAGTTCGACAGACTGCAACTGCTCAGTAGCTGAGCAAAGTCCTTTGCAGTAGCATCAATTGGTAAGGCTCTTCAGAACACTAGCCAGTGTTCCCTTTCCTTTTCAGACCCATGATGACTATCAAGCAGCAAGGGGGTAGCAAGCACACAGAGTCCTTCAATTCCTCAATGTCTATACTCACAAGGCCCAAGGACAGAATGGTTGCCTCCTTTCAATCTTCCAAGTGAAACCTTCCAGTGATACCAGATAGAACTTTGGCAGACAGCTCCCCTCAGTCAGCTTACTGTAAAATCAGGGACACTCTCTCCAACTTCAGGCCCTCAGGTCGACCACCTGAGACCCGCATGGCAGCCAGTGTCAGGCAAGGTAAGCCTGCCCCCAGCCTGACTGTCACGTACCTGATGGGAGACTGAATTGATGAAGTCTGCCTCACTTGTCTCACTAGCCCTGACCCCGCTGAGGTTGGAACAGAGGGAGTCAAGGGACCAGGGGGACAAGAGCGCCAGTGGTTGTTGCTTGCAACTCTTGCAGATGATGACCTTGGTAGGCATAGTATCCTCTGATTTGGGCACCATAGAAATAGACCAGGCAGGTTCAGTGGATTGCCAGATGTGCAGCAGAGCAAGGTAGGTAGCAAGGACACAGGACTGGAGCAGAGTTATAGGATAGCCGGGGTCAGAAACAGTTGGGCAGCGCGGTACAGAATTAGAAGGAGAAGCCAAAGTCAAGAGCAGAGCCGAAGTCAGGAACCAGGAGCAGGAGAGCAATCAGAGTCAGGTCAGGAACAAGCCGGGTCAGCAACAAAGGAATCGTACAGGAGCAAGCAGGACACAGGGGGGAGCTGAAGACCAGTCAGCACTGAATCTGAGCAGAGGCACTCCTTAAATGGCCCATCTGGCACCAATCTTCGCCATGCATGTGCATGTGTGATCGCGCATTCCTATGCCCCTGCGCACAACCGGCAATTCTTCTGTGGAATCTCCTTTGCACATGCGCGTTTCCGATCGCGATTCTTCGTGCTGGAAATCCCTCACACTGACTTGGTTCAATCCTCTCCCGGGAAAGACATTATTTATTTATTATTTATTTCAGGTACTTATATAGTGCTGTCAATTTACACAGCGCTTTACATATATATATTGTACATTCACATCAGTCCCTAACCCTCAAGGGGTGTACAATCTAAGTCCCTAACTTACATTCATACATACACAAGTAGGGCCAATTTAGACAGGATCCAATTAACCTACCAGCATGTCTTTGGAGTGTGAGAGGAAACTGGAGTATCCGGAGGAAACCCACGCAGGCACAGGGAGAACATGCAAACTCCAGGCAGGTGGTGCCGTGGCAGGGATTCGAACAAACGACCCTAGTACTGCCAGGCGGAAGTGCTAACCATTTAGCCACTGTGCTGCCCTGTGGACATTGAATCGATGTGCTCACAGAACATAAATACCACTCCCAGCATGCAATGGGACTGCCCTCCCCCTGCCAGTGCTTTACCAATATTAATGCTGCTCATTTATTTGCCAAGTTCCCTCCCAGATTCTGGAAGGCTCTCATAGCTTCATGAAGGCAGACAGAACTCACAGCAAATCCAGGAGCACCAGAGCATCATGAGCAGTCTTGACTAATTAATCACAGCACTCTGTTAAGCAGAGAGCCCAAATAGATTTTCCTAACAGCCTCTCCGTTAAGCAGAGAAACACAGCTATATACAGCTATATTTATCTTAGCTGTCTAAATCCTAGTACCTAACTAGGAGGGTGCTACATAGAGAAGAGAAGACTGCTGATAGACAGGTACAATTTATGAGGAGGATTTGTTTCATATCTTTATATCACCTGAGACCAGTCACTTCACTGGGTGTATTTAAGGGTTTACAATCACATTGACTAGTTCGGCATTAAAGCAATTTTTTAATTTGTGTGCGCACATGTGAAATCTTCATTTTTGTCCATAAAATTACATAAAACCCCCAGAACATTATATATTTTTTGAAAGCAGATACCCTGTAGAATAAAGAGATGATAGTTAAAAATGTTTATGTTCAGGAAAAAAAATTAATAAAATGAATTTTAGTGCAAACTCACACAATATACAGTAATACCCAAGTTTTACTAACATATAAAAAATTAGATTGCATCGAGTAAATAGATACCAAGTCTTAAAATTGCATGTGTCTGTGATATTGCAAAAAAAAAAAACTATGGTATCCAAAAATCTAGATAGATGACACTTTAGAAGCTATTGCAGCTCATCAGTTTAGAGTTAACACTGGTTTGCGCAATACCTCACAAGTGTGGTGCATCCATGGTTTACATACGTGTACGTGCCCTGGGCATGAGTTTGCAGATTTGTGCAGGGGTTACGGTAATTTTTAAAAAATACATTTTATGATCAATTTTTTTTTACTTTTTAATTTTATGTAGTTTTTTTAAACTTTATTGCTATTACAAAGGGTTAATTAACCCCTATGTGACAGCATTTGGCAAGTGATAGGTACCCTTTTCGGAGATATTATGGTTCTAACAGACCCCCAATGTCTCCCCTGCCCTCCAATGTATATACCTGAACACAGGTCTGCTCGGCTAGATGCTACCCTGGCTGTACCGGCCAGGAAATGGTGGATCTGAAACTGGAAGTGATGAAATCGTTTCCAGTTTCTTTGTTTACAGGGGAGAGAGAGGCATGGATGTGTCTCGGTCTCCCCCCATTCCCCATCCTGATGTTGGTGGTAATCGAAATTCTGAATCACAGCTTTTCTATAAAAGCATTTCACAATTACAGTTAAAGATACATAAAATCTCTAGCACATAGTAATGGTTTCCATACAC